AAGGTAAAGAGACTGAAAATAATAATTATTTTGTTTGAATCAGAAAAAAAATAAAATTAATGAAAGACCAATTGAGTTTTGACAAAATTAATTTACAATTTCTCCATAAGAAGGCAAATGCAACTTCAAAATGTATACTTTAGAAAAAAAATAAATTAAAGACCGTCCTATACGTTTATTTTTTTGTTTTATGGACCTTTACTCACATTTGCAATATATGGATTAATTCTCCTCTCTAAAATCATGTTTTTTTAATTAATTATTATTTTATTAACATTATCTTCAAAATGTTATTTATCTTTTAGAGAAATTAAAATAGAATATTATGCACTGTTCACCTTTACTTGAGGTTGTTGCACTAGGAGGAAGATGAAACACTCAAAATATGAATTCATATCAATTTGTATGTAATATAGCTTTGATATTTTTCGTTATGTAAAATTTATATTCTACATAAAAAAATAAAATATATAAATGAACTCATACTGAAATATTAAATTCACCCCTAAATTTTAGATTTCTCTAAGTACGTATTTTGGAGAAGACTTCGAATTCTTTAAAAAAATTAATTCCAAATCATTCAAAAATGGATCAAATGAAATCACTAGTTTTTTTTCTTTCCATTTTTAAAATTTTGTAAAGATGATGTTTCATATATTTGTTATCTCTCCCTGATATATTAAAAGAGAAAAAAAATAAATTATTCTATTTTTTTATCTCTGAAATTTGGATTATGATCTTTAAAACTTACGTAATAAAAAAATCCGTGACTTATTAAGGGATTCTTTTAGTAATTAATGTAAAAATCTGCACGAAAATTATTTTTTTTATATAAATTTTCATATTAATATTCACAAAAATTCTCGTATAATTTACAATTTTTGTGTAATGTTACGTCTATCACTAAACCAAACAGTTGATTATTGCTTTTAATTTATTTTAATTCTTTCATAGAATAACCAACCCTATAATAATGATTAACATCTTTGTCAGCCGCCTTAATGTCAAACAAACACGTCCATTTATGTATTTCCTTTTATCTATTTTTTTTATTTAATACTAATTTGACAAATTTTTTTCTGAAAAATATATATTAAAAAATATTTATAGTTAATAAAATATATACAAATATATATTAAAAATGAAATATACTGAACAAGAAAAAGTGAACGGAAGAGATTAAAAAAAAATGTTATCAAATCATCGTCAATCTTAAATTCCCACTTGCTAATAAATTATTATAGTACTCAAACTTTATTATCTTTGTTCTTTCAATTTGAACCAACTAGGATGTTTCTTTTTTATTTTTATTTTTTTAAATTCTTGAACTAATTATAGATGTTTGACTAATGCTTTTAAATCTTGCAAAAAAAAAATAAAAAAAAATTATTCATTATAAAGCAACCCCATCACTTCTTTCCCATCATCTACTTTTTAACATTTATGATTTTATCCAAATTCTTGAAACCATGAAAAGTTACTATCTTTTTCCCTTTTTAGTTTTTTCATTTCTTGTTTTGTCTTTCCCTTTGATAACAGAATCAAGAATTTTGCTTAAAGGTGATTCTTTTTCAGTTAAAGATGATTCACATTTCATTACTTCTCCACAAAATACATTCACTTGTGGTTTTTACCCTATAGAAAGTAGTAGTAATGCTTATTATTTTGGAATTTGGTATACAAATTCAAGAGATAAAACTGTTGTTTGGAATGCTAAACAAGATAGGCCTGTTAATCTCAAAGGGTCAAAGTTGACATTAAGAAAGAATGGAGCTTTAGTTTTAACAGATGTTGATGATACAATTGTTTGGCAAACAAACACAACATCATTTGATGTTGAAAAGGCTGAGGTTCTTGAAACAGGAAACTTAGTATTGAAGAATCTTGAAGGTGATGTTTTGTGGCAGAGTTTTGATTTGCCTACTGATACTTTGTTGCCTTATCAAAGATTTACCAAGAATCATAGATTAGTTCCTCCTTTGAGGAAAGGGAGTTTATCACCTGGATACTTTAGTTTGTACTTTGATAGTGATAATGTTTTGAGAATGATTTATGATGGTCCTTTAGTTTCGAGTATATACTGGCCTAATCGCGATAGGGATGTGTATGGGAATGGTAGAACTAGTCAAAATAGTAGTAGATTTGCTTATTTTGATGGAATGGGTAGATTTTTCTCAAGTGATATGTTGCAATTCAATGTTTCTGATATGGGGTTAGGGGTATTGAGAAGATTGACTATTGATATTGATGGGAATTTGAGAATGTATAGTTTGGATAACTCGACAGGGTTATGGAAGATGTCGTGGCAAGCGATTGCACAAGCTTGTGTTGTGCATGGAATATGTGGAAGATTTTCGATATGTACTTATGTATCGAAGCCTAAATGTACATGTCCTCCTGGATACGAGATTGTTAATGGAAGTGATTGGAGTAGAGGTTGTAGGCCAATATTTAGATCAAGAAGTTTGGAGTCTAGACATGTCAAGTTTGTGGAAGTTCCTAATGTTGATTACTGGGGTTTTGATCTCAATGCCACTACTCCTTTGTCATTTGAATCTTGTAGGGAATTGTGCTTGGGTGATCCACGTTGTCGTGCATTTGTCTATAGGCGTACTGGGGAGGGATCATGCTATACGAAAGGTATCCTTTTCAATGGATACAGGTCTCCTGGTTTCCCTGGAAGTGTGTTCTTGAAACTCCCTATGAATCTAAGTGCATCAGAATCAGGTCATTTGGTGCTTGAAGGTACTGATACAAAATGTGGATTGAGTCCCGAAAATGTTCTTTTTGGTTCTCCTTCTATGTATGTATTGGATTTTAAGAAGGTGAAGTGGATTTATCTTTACCTGTTTTGTTTCACCCTTGGTGGAATAGAGATTCTGTTCTTCGTGTTAGGCTGGTGGGCGTTGTTTAGTAAACATGGGATTCCTGCTTCCATTGAGGACGGGTATAAAATGGTGTCATCGACTCAGTTCAGGAGGTTTACGTATACTGAACTTAAGAAAGCAACAAAAAACTTCAAGGTTGAGCTAGGAAGAGGAGGTTCAGGAGCTGTTTACAAAGGAGTTTTAGCAGACGGAAGAGCGGTGGCAGTGAAGAAACTTGCAAATGAGTTTCAAGAAGAATTTTGGGCAGAGATGACTACCATAGGAAGAATCAACCATATGCATTTGGTGAGGATGTGGGGATTTTGTTCTGAAGGTAGACGTCAGCTTTTGGTCTATGAATACGTCGAGAACTCATCACTTGACAAGCATCTTTCCAGGGCTGATATTCTTGGATGGAAACAAAGGTTTGCAGTGGCACTAGGGACAGCCAAAGGTCTGGCATATCTTCATCATGAATGTCTTGAATGGGTGATTCATTGTGATGTGAAGCCTGAAAATATACTTCTCGATAGTGAATTCGAGCCAAAGATTGCAGATTTTGGACTTGCAAAGCTGTCCCAAAGAGGCGGCCCTGGTTCAGATTTCACAAAGATTCGCGGTACTAAAGGCTACATGGCTCCTGAATGGGCTTTGAACCAACCTATAACAGCAAAAGTTGATGTTTACGCCTTTGGGATTGTAATACTAGAAATGATCAAAGGAAGTAGGCTGTCAAGTTGGGTGGTGGATGATAGTGAATGTGATCACGAACAAGATTCACAGCTCGGAAAGTTTGTCAGGATGGTGAAGAGGAAGATTCAAAGTGGAGAAGATACTTGGGTGGAGAAACTTGTCGATCCACGACTAGAAGGCAAATTTAGCAAGAACCAGGCAGTGACACTCATTGAAATAGGCCTTTCTTGTGTAGAACAAGACAGAAACAAAAGGCCTACAATGGCCTCAGTAGTCCAAACATTGCTGGACTCTGAAGATGAAACAACACAAATAACATAGAATTTTTCCTTTGTAAATGTAAAGAGTGATTGGAATTTGTGAATGGAAATTGAATAAACCATTTTGTCTTTTCATCTTGGACTATCAAACTCTTATAGTTCTCTTAATTATCCTTCTGCAATCTTGATCATACTAGCTAATTATGTAATGAAAATCTTTCATCTTTAACTAAATTTTTTTAACAAAAGAACTCAAAATACACAAATAGAACTTCTTCATTTAGAGTTTTCAGACAATAGCGCGGCAACTTGTGAAATCTTAAGTATGCAACAACAAGAAGTAGGGTTTGGCAAGGGTAACATGTACGCAACCTTACCCCTGCCTTTGGGATAGAGAGGTTTTCAACCGACCCTCGGCAACCCTCCTCGTTTATTCGGACTTGGGACCAATAATGTGAAATCTCAATTAAACATTCTTCATTAATGTTCCATGTTTCCTTCTTGTGCAACATTGGAGTATTATAAATTAAACGCCTAAATTAAATTACTGTCCTTATTTATGACTAGTGGAGTAATATCATTTAGCCCATGATCACAAACCGAAAAATGTATACTGTTCCATAATGTAAAGTGTCTCGGATCAATAATAAAGTTGTGTCTATATAACTTATAGATCACTAATCATGTCTTGAGATGAGTTTTTGAACTTTTTTATGTATTGTTGCTGATGCAACAGAAACATATGATGTGTATACTTTTAATATAGTTATCACGAAATCTAATCTAAATATCATTACAATTTTCGAATTAGATATATTGCTAATATATGAGAATTAGCTAAGTAATCTTATTGGTCTAATAAGGTTATTTTATTTTTAATATGTTGTATTGCCTACAAAGTTGTCTAAGTTCACATCGTATTAAATATAGTACATGTTTTCCATATACATATATTAATTTGGTATGACTAAGTATTTACGTTTCAAAATCAAACCACTAGAAAATAAAGTTTTTTATGTTCAATTACAAAGAATTTTTTTTTTGTCCACGTTTAAGTCACTCAAACAAAAATCTCACTTCCTATTTTATATATTTTATACTTTAAAAATAAAGGCAATTTAAGGTGACACTCTTTTTGTCAATCATTCAATGGAAAAATCTAATTTTTTATATGTTCCTCTGATTCTCTCATGCACCCCCCCACCCCACCCACCTACCCCTCCCCACCGAACACACTGTTGTGAAATTTCTACTAGGTAAACTGTGGCGAAATAAGTAGAGCTTAACCTAGCTTAATCACACAGTCATCATCAAATCTTGACTCATTTTGCTTTGTTGCTGCATTCTTTCATTTCTAGGCTTTATTTGGGAAATCCCAGAATATTTGTCGACTTTTCTTGAATTAATTTGAGCAAAAAACTTGTGGGGTTGGTAGAAAATGGCTGGTTGTTCATCAGGTATCAGGTCATCTCAGTTTACATCTCTGAAAAATGAAATCTTTATCATGGGGTCCATAAAAGACTCTAACTTTACGTTTGTTAAGAGACAAGATTTTGTGGGTATGAGGAAAATCGGTTATTTGGTTTGTCAGGAGAATTACAAGTCAAGATTTTTGGTTAAGAGTTCATTGAATCCAGAGGGTAAATCAATATCTGGTGTTAGTGTAGAGACAGTACTCAAAGAGAATGATACTTATTCTGTTGGGAAAGATGTAAGTATTCTTGATGCTGATAATGGTGGTGATGGGGAGGGAGATTTAGCTGTTGGGAATGGTGGAAACGGGAAATACCCTGGTGGTGGTGGTGGCGGCGGAGGTGGTGGTGGAGGGGACAATGGAGAAGGTGATGAGGAGGAAGATGAATTTGGGCCATTACTGAAGTTTGAGGATGTGATGAGAGAGGCAGAGGCTCGTGGGGCTACACTTCCTGCTGATATGATAGAGGCTGCAAAGAGTGTTGGGATCAGGAAGCTACTTTTGCTTAGATATTTGGACTTGCAGGTAAAAATTGATTAGGTGAAAATGATTAACCTGCTTACAAAATGGTTTATTGGAAATGTTTATTTTGATTGTATCTTTGATTGGCAAGTCGTCTTTTCGTGAATGTAGGGGTCAGCTTTGCTCGGCACTGCAATGAGGTCGTGTGCTATGCTGCGGAACAGAATGTTGGCTGATCCATCATTTCTTTTCAAAGTTGGAACTGAGGTTTGTGTAAAAGCTTGATTTTGATATTGCTGTTCTGTAAATAAATCATTGAGCTGTAGTACAGTAGAAATAGTTGCTCCTCGAGCTACTGCTATTAGTGTGCATTGTGTTGTGTCTGTGATTCTGTTTACATATCTTACGACTTGGAGCAATTTGTTATATAACCATGCTAAACTTGCATTACACGTGGTGAATTTCTATGGACCTTGAAATCACGCGGCATCTTACCTACTGTTCATTGTTTTTTTGTTTGGTCATGATTTTATACTTGATATGCCTTTTAACTTTGAATTCATGGGTTCCATTGGTTCTGTGATGTAGATAGTCATTGATACTACTTGTGCAACAGTAGCAGAAGTTCAAAAGAGGGGCAAAGATTTTTGGGCGGAATTTGAATTGTATGCTGCAGATATGTTGGTTGGTGTTGCTGTCAATGTAGCTCTAGTTGGGTTGCTAGCACCATATGCTCGAATTGGGCAACCTTCTGTATCTCAAGGTTTTGTTGGTCGTTTTCAGAGAGCTTATGGAGCACTTCCAAGCAGGTTTTGACTTCTGCAATCCGTGTGATATTATTGCATCTAATTTGAGCACTATTTAGAAGATTTTCACTTTAATTACTCATCTGCTGCAGCGTTTTTGAAGCTGAAAGGCCAGGGTGTAGATTTTCATTGAATCAGAGAATTGCTGCTTATTTTTACAAGGTAAAACTTGCATAATTGAAGTATATGCTATAAATGAATTGCAGCATGTTTGTTTACATATATCATTCTCTCCTGTTCCTAATAGTTCTTTTCATAAATGCATTCAATTGTGTAACTTACAGTTCTTCATATTTCTTTAGGGCATTCTATATGGATTCGTTGGGTTTGGATGTGGTATCATTGGCCAAGGAATTGCAAATATGATAATGACTGCCAAGCGGTTTGTTTCTCTCTTATATCACTAATACTACTATTATGGCTATTATTTGTTATTGTTGTTGACTGTTGTATTTCATGGTTTAGTTTACATAGATGCTGCTTGAAGATATTGTAAATTTCTGTCTTACTCCTTCCTGGATTTGAACTCGGGATTCATCGGGAACCAATGATCATACTTTTGGATATTCACAAACTAGAATTCTTCATTTCGAAACTCGAACCCCTAAATGTTGCCTTGTTTTAAAGTGTTCAACTTCTCCAGTTAGAAATGTATATTTGAGTTGTCAAGACAAAGGGAGGACCCACATGGAGCCCTATGGGAGTTCGAGCAATCATTGTCTTTGATGCGGAACTTTTATTTTATTTGAACAACTAATACGACAAAAAATATTATTAAGTCTGAAACTAACCCGATTTCTAATAAAACACTGATATATATACATTGTTATCGCTGAATACAAATTACAAGTATAATACACACAACAAAATAATAACATAGTAATTACGGATAGATTAACATAGAAGAAGGTAACTAGAAGGGGATGAGATACTAGAAGAGAGAGGGATGAGAGATAACTGAAAGTCAAAGCTCCGACATAATTTTCATAACCGTTCTTCTAACTCCTAGTCCTTTTTTTAGCAGATGGTTATTGGGCCTGGATCCCAAATAAAAGTCTCTAATAGCCCATAGGCCATTACAGAGTCAACTTGATTCACAATAAAGTCAGCACCCATGAACAAAATAGACTGGTGGGTGCTTTGGTTTGGAAATGCAACAGGGAGCTCCATACCTCTGGCTGTCGCAGGATTGAATCCTTCTCTAGACCATTTTGATACTAATCCCCTCAATGTTTTAATTTCTCTCCTTCAACTTTATTTGCTTCATTTTGACTTTTCTGCTTTCCATTTTGTTCTTTCTCAAATTTCGTGACCCATTCTTCTCTAAAAATGAATTGGTCTTTTCCTTTTCTTCTTTTATTTTAGTGCTTCTTTTCTTTAATTTCTTTCCCTCCAAACCAAAACAAACAATTCATCTTCTCCGATTATAGAAAAATCATGTACAGTTTAAACCTTTTTGTAGTTAAATAAAAACTCTATCTAAAGCTGATAACTTTGCGCTGATGTCATGTTCTATCATGCATCCGTTTACTTGGTGTAGACACCCGATGCATGTAATTTTATACTGATATTATTTATTGTGTATTCAGTGTATGAAAATCGTGAAGGATAATTGTGAATAAATTCTCCTTTTTAATTATAAAAACTAATTATAGTATGTTGTTGAGTGTTTTCACATTTAGTTTTTAATTATTTCTGTGCTTAACTTTGTGGCTGTGACAACTGTTGCTAAAGAGAGTGGACACCCATTACTTCAAAATTCAAGATCCGCCATTATCAGGATATCAGATTTTTTTTTCCTTCGCACAAAGAAGATATTACATTTTTCATTGTTTTTCGATGAACTAGTTCTAATACCTGATATGTAAGGACTAAGGAGGTAACTTTAGGAACCAAACCATTGCATTTTTTTTCACCCGTTCTTTCCTAATCCGGATTTAATGGCTGTCTTGCCATCCTCTGGTTTTGTTTTCTAAATGAGAGCTGTGGATGTGTAAGAGACAATGGTTATACAATTCGGTGGAGGACAAGGTCAATGAAAAAGGCCTTGGCGGTGTTTAGAGGGGAGGGGACAGGAGCAAGGGGATGGTGTGTAGATTCAAAATGGATCTGTCACAGAGAAGCTTTCCTCAGACAAGATAGGCAAGTAGCTGTTAGTCTGTAGACCCGTTGAAGCAAGCCCATGGTGCTTCACTGCTTTGATAAGGAAGAAGGAATCTTATCAACTGTAATTCTGGTTGGGCATGGAAAACTGCTGGAGTTTAAACTGAAGGATCTGAGAATAATTCTTTTGCCCTCATAGACTAGTACATATGTAATGTGAGTCTCGATGGTCATGAGCCCACACAAGACCGAACAAACCTGTTAAAGATATGCATAATGGGTCAAGCTGTTGTATCAACAGGGATATAAGGGAAACAAACTAATGGCTATGGGTTCATGTAAGAGACCAAGGCTTATATCTGTCTCCATGTTCTGCCCTAGCAAATTTTAGTAAGTTCAGGATGTTGCTGGGAACAACATTAGTGAAAGTAGCCCAGTAAGAACATTTGAGAAGGAAAGAGATAAAGTATTGATGGCAAGGAGGAAGTAAGAAGATTGTGGGGGTACCAACACCATGTGACTAATCAAAATTCACAAGAAGGCTGGGTGTGAAAACAAAACCTTTCAGCCCGTAAGTGAAGGATGGCTGCTTAAAGAAGTGGTATGATTACGATTGATGAGATAGGAGCTCAAAAGAGGGGCATGAAGCATCATCTCCTTGGATTTTTCTTTGAAGAAGGAAGAATTCAACGGTGAACAGACTGGATGCCCTCATTTTGCAATTCCACTAAGCTACTGTTTAAGTGACGGTGCAAGCATCAGTATTAATTGATCAAAAAAGTAAACCATAGCACCCAAGGGTGTGGCCTAGTTGCCCGTGAAGTGGTTGGAGAACCATGAGGTATCAGATTTGTATCTCAGCGGAGGCGAAAATACTGCATAGATGATTTCTTCTCATCTACCGAGCCTTGGTGTGTAGAGGTAGAGCTACCCGGTACCTGTGCTGGTGGGAGGTAGCAGGTACCAGTTTCAACTTAAGGCTGGAATAGTCAAGATGCATAAGCTGGGACGGACACGACCATCGCTAAAAAGAGAGTAAACCAGGAAAGAAGTGACTGTAATATCTTTCAGTATCCATTGTCAAAAAAATATGATTTAGTATCTTGTACTGAGTGTTTAAGTTTCAACTGGTGTTTTAGTTTTTTTATTATAGAATTACCTTTTTTTTAATCTCGTCTTTGCATGGTGTCTTGTTTACTGATGCTGATGGAAAAATTTATTCCGACAAGTAAAAGAATCAGGGGAAATCAGGTTTTTGCTGATAGTAACTGAATTATGAGAAGTCGAGGTGACCTCGTGGATTTTATGGGTTGACCCATTGCACTGAAGTAGATATATCTATTATACTTCTTTTATCTGATATGTATCTCTTCATCTATTTCTTAACTGGTTCATATTAAGTTAAATACCTTTCCCTAAATTTTGATGGTTTCCTCAGAAACCATGTCCTTGTCTAACCCTTTCCTGATTCATCATAAGTGGTGTGCTCTCCCAGCATCAAAATCTTTATGGGACATCACTTGATTAGTGATGTCCGAAAGGGCTATGTTAGATTGGTCAGCTAGTCATACTGGTCTAGTGTGTTGTAGTGTTCTCCCAGTTATTTCATAACTACAAAAGGATCAAGAAATCGGACTGGCTGATGATATTACACGAATATCAAAAGTAGAACCTCGAAAGCTAAGTTTGTAAGGAATATTTGTTAGGCACAACAATTTTATTAATCTTTAGGTTCTACATTTCATGGTTGAACCCCCGAGGTTGAGCGGAGTCCACTGCAGATTTTCTTTCCTGCAGCTAATAATTTGTGTAGTGTGACAGTTTGATGCATGAGTCTGTATATGCTGTTATCGTTGATCAAAGTAGATATTATATTTCTTTTAACATGTTTGTATATCAGGAGCGTCAAGAAATCAGAGCACGATGTTCCTGTTCCACCTCTTGTAAAGAGTGCATTACTTTGGGGTACGCCTTCACTTCATTCCTATATGTTCCTGCTTTTGATAATAAATTTCCAAACCTTTATCTACCAGCTACATTATGTATGCTGCGTGCTTTACTTTATCCGATTCCTGTTTATCTCTTTCCAGTTCTTCCTGTATATTATCATTGAGTTGTCTTGTTGAAAATTCTAGACTGTATTATAGTACTTGTTACGTTGAAATGCTGAACTACTTCCATTGAGATCATCTTCTGGTAATTTAACGATTCCTTGCATCATATAGCATTTTTTCCACAAAATGAATTAAGTCAATGATGATATTGCAGACATAATATTGTAGTATAGGGGAGATTTACAATTTTTCGCAGTCAATTATGATATTGCAATTTGTGTGAGTGATGAAGCAATCAAGAAATCACATGTTTCTTTTCAAAATTTGACCTTATATCTGGTAAAGGTTGAAAATTTTGGGTTTCGGGGTGGCCCAGTGATTTGGGCTTGGGACTTCCATATTGGAGGTCTCAAGTTCGAAACCCCTTACTAGAGAAAATAAGGGGCTTGCCTTTTGGGTCGAGCTCGTCGCACCGGACTTGCCTAGTGCTGGTTATCTCTCCTATGTGATTTGCGAGCATAGGAGCGGGGGTTTTATCCTGTGCACACCCAAATGGATAGCGGCTGCGATTTCTCTTGTAAAAAAAAATTAAAATTTTGGACTTGAATCTTCAAATTGTAACTTCCACTTCCTATCTTCTGAATAAAGTAAAAATGCACATTCTATTCTAGTGTTTCTTGAATCATGTTGCATTTTAGCTTTTCCTTGATGCCTCGTCATTGCAAGCTGCATTTTTTTTCTATGACCTCCATCTTACCTGCCTGCCAGCACCAATTTGATTTCTGGATCTGTTATGTCAGGTGTTTTCCTTGGAGTTTCTTCAAACACCAGGTTACAGATTGTGACCGGATTAGAACGTCTGGTTGAATCTTCTCCAATGGGAAAGCAGTTTCCGCCTGTTGCAATGGCATTCACAGTTGGTGTGCGATTTGCCAACAATATATATGCTGGAATGCAGTTTGTGGACTGGGCGAGGTGGAGTGGTGTGCAGTAACTTTATGCTTCTTTTCTCTTTCGGGCATTCTCAGCGAGGATCATCAGTGTTTCTTCACTCGAAATCAAAACCTTAGGGTTAGAGATGGAGGCGACTTATAACTAAGCCAACTAGTTTTGTCACTTGTTTGTGCTTCTAGCTCAATAATTCCATCCTTGTTGTATTCTAGTTGATGAAGTGAGTTTTGGTTACATCAAATATCAAAGGAAACATGTTTGCTCCATGTGATGTGTGAGCTTGAGACACGTCACGAGTTCGAACCCTGTATTTAAGTGGGGAAGGATGGATCTATTATCGTTGAGTTTCTAATCAATCGTGAATGATTCTAATTTTATGATTTTGAAATAAAGTAGAAAATAGCCCTCTTCAAAAAAGATCTTTCAATTATGTCTCGTTATATGTGATATTTTTTTAAAAGTGGAAAATATTTTAAAATGGGCGATGATAACATACTAAGTGTAGTTTCATAAGTTAGGTCTAAATTAAAGACATATTAGTGTGTATGTGGCTTGGGGTGGACATGGTATTGACATATACTAAATATCATATCAAAATAAAAAAATTCTGATATTATATTTTTGATATATATTATACCATTAACCATCAAAATCAATCTTTAGAATATCAAATTATGTTTATTAATTTAATATAATAATATAAAATGTTATAAACATCGAAAATCAAAATTACTGAACCAAAACCTATGGTACGAGTTTGTCAAAATTCTAAAGCCTAATCTCAACATTCTTTCGTGAAAAGTAGAGCCAATTGTAATGAAAACCCTTTTTTCACGTTTTTGGAAATAATTTTGTAGATAATATTCATTCATTATATAATATATTCAAAATAATTTTTGATCTTAAATATATCTTATAAATATTTTAAAAAAATTAAAGAGAGAAACTTGTTTGAAAATAAAATGAAGACTTTTGAAACTTGAATTCTTAAATATGTCATAATATTTTTATGATTATAAAAAAAAATTAACTTTTAATCTTAACCATTCCAAAATATTTGTATGGCCATAAAAACATTCATAAAGAATAAAGGGAAAATGCACAAGTACCCCCTCAATCTATATTCGAAATTTCAAAGACACATCTATATTATACTAAGGTCCTATTACCCCTGAACTTATTTTATAAGTAACTTTCTACTTCTTTTCGGCCTACGTGGCACTAGCTTGAAAAAAAAAGTCAACCAGCGGTGGATCCACAAGATAGTGTCACGTAGGCTGAAAAGAGGTAGAAAATTATTAACAAAATAAGTTCAGAGGATGATAGGACCTTAGTATAGAACAAGTATATCTCTGAAAATTCGAACATAGATTGAAAGGATACTTATACATTATCCCAAAAATTAAAAAAATTGAAATACATTGTTTTCAAATTTCACTATATAAAGGCATCATCCTTTTCTAAAATATGCCAATAATAAACTCACATAAATTTGAATTAGATAAACTATTAAAGAGAAAATGACTTTTTAATTTTTATTTTTAGAAAGATAAAAATGTACCATAAAAGAATATAACTTTATCAATATTTCTAAGCGTTAAAGATTGATTTCGAACATTACAAACAAAAAATAAGGAGCAGGGTTCTCTTCTTTATTTTTTATTTTTTATTTTTATTAAGTATTTAATGTTCATATTTGAATCTCGATTAAATTTATATTGCATAACAAATATAATAAGCGAATCAAGATTCCCTACTAATAGTTTTTATATATAAAATTCTAATTTCAAAACTTATCCTATTTATCCTATAAACTTTTATAAATATAGAAGTCATCATTTGCGAGGTTGAATTTAGGCAATCAATTCTTGTCCATTCTTTAAATTTTAAGCAGGAAATTCAAAGTTCATATTCTTATTTTGGAAGTATTTCGAATAATGATTTCGATTACAAAATTATAACTTTTTTTTTCAAACAATATTCATGTCCAAATAGCATACTAGCAAGTTTTTCTACTTCAACCAAACAGTCCAAATGTATACTACTAACAAAGATACTAAATATATAATCTCCGTGTTTCAATTTGATTGTTTTAAATCTTATTTTTAGTCTATTTAAAAAATTATATATTTTTCTTTTTCTAATTTTTTTATATGATATATTTAAAATCATAAGATGAAAAATCATTTGATACATTCTATATATTTTTCGTTTAAAATACATATTTAATAATTTATTTTATTGATACAAAATTAAAGTTCGACAAATAAATTGAAACCGAACAAATTATGTGCCACTTACCAAAAAGTTCCATTAGAATATTCCATTCCTTCCAGTCCCTACCAATGAAAACATATTTCATCTTTATGCTCTGCTGCATTGGCCAAAGTTCAAGGCAAACAACTTCCAATATATATATATATATACACACATATATATATATATATAATTTTTTCAATGTTAACGAGCACATATGCAACTAATTTTTGTAAGAGTGGAATTTATATATTGATAAAAGTTAACGATCACTTTCTATATAAGACGTGAATTGTCATATAGGATACCACATAAAATAAATATATATACTTATTCAATTTTTTCACTATGTAAGTTCTACATGTATACACTCAAACTTAAAATATATAAATAAGAAAGAAACTGTCATCCCAATTAATCCAATTTGGATGCCTTGGACTTGACATATCACTTTGAAAAAGTAACATAAAGCTCAGAATTTGGGTGTAGTCAATATTACTAAATAGAAAGGAAATTGATTTATGATTGATTTTAATTAAATAAAAAAAAATAATTTATTTGTACCTCGTAAAAAAACTTTTTATTTTATGCAATGAACCATTTCTCTTCTTTTCGTGAAAAGAAATTATGTTCAAATAAGTAAATATGTCATGGTTTTAGAAGTCTATCTAACGCGTATAGACTTTAAGGGCATGATGACCTAACCATCGAGCTGAAGTGAGACCTAAACGATCGAATAGAAGAACAACAGGTGAATATTCTTGTACTATCCCTTGTTAGTCTCGAGGGACGGAGGAGGCTAGGTTATCGAAAGATGGTTATCGATTTAAGAACGTAAGATGTCCCTGCTTTTTCAGGATAAGAAGAGATAGAGAAAATGCCTCGAGTCAATATTCGAATACCAAATACTACAACACACAAGTAAATTCCTTATGGGTTCCAAAGTATTGCTTCAATTAAGAGTTAAAGAATTTATATCAGTTGAGATTAAATTAAATCCGCAGACACATGGATTCATTGGTTTTTACACACATTCAGTTATTTGACCAATAGACCAATCCATTATTAAAAAATCAGAAATTTGATGACATCTCTTTTTGTACCACCTCAGCATTTCACCTCTGATTTTATTTTATTTTATTTTTTATTAAAGGGAGAGTAAAGATTCCTCCTTTCATCTGAAAAAGAATAGAAATGCAGAGTCTGCCTTTAAGGGAAACAATTTCTAGTAGAATTTAATTAGAATCCAGCTGTATTTTCCCTTTTCCTTTAAGCATCCTTTGACCAGACAAACCCTTTCGAGATAATGACGAAATCAGAATTTTTATTAAAAAAATTAAAAAGTTTTATAAAAATTTTATTTTGTTGTTGTGTATTGTGTTAATTCTCATACTATTTTGTTGTTATTATTTTTTTTTAGACTTTATAATGATTTTCTTATTAACAGTTATGCTTCGTTTATTAATTTTCTTTTTCTTTTACTAAGATTCGACGTATGTGAGTTAGGGGTTTATCGAAATACAATATTTCTATCTTTTTGAGAAAATAGTAAAGTTTATTAGTGTTCTATCCTCAGTGGACTCTATTTCACCTAAAAAAATTAAATACAAGAAGAAATTAAAAGAGATTTGACATATTAAATAATATCATAATTTCGTAATGAAAAGAGTTTAAATGAACCTCTCGATTCTATCTGCTTATTGTCTTGTCCTGGCCCACCTTCCTATATAATCTAAAACCCCTGCCCTCTATTGTTCTGCTAAAATTTTGGAGCCTCGTTTAATACTAAAGGATAAAATGAGATAAAATTTATATCGTATTTGATTGAAAGTAGAAATTTATTTGAAATAACATATATTGGTAATTAAATGCAATAAAAATTTTATCTATGAAATATACTTATTTCATACTATTTAATTTGAGATTATTTTATGTTTATATATATCAAATAACCCTTAAAACTATTACTCCCTTCGTGTTAATATGTTTATCTATCTTTTATTTGCTTTGTAATTCTTTTTTTTTCTTCATATTATATACACATAAACTTACAAAATTAAATATTATTTCATCATTTTAATTTTTTAATTTAAAAATAAAATTAGACGAATAAATTGAAAGTACTTTGGTCAAAGGTCAAAACCTGCATGTTTCTTAACAATCTGGAATCCTTTCAATTCCATCTCTGTCCACATAAAAATCTGGTCTTTTGTCATTCTCTGTTATTTATTCTATACTCCTACATTATAATAGTAGTAAAAACAGAGCAAATATTTTTCATTTAATTCATGCTTTTCCCGATTAAACATTGTATTTGATATTTTATAACGACAAAGAATAATATAATCTATTTAAACGAGGAATGAAATCTCCTTTTATTAGTTATTTCTACGATTTGAAACTCTTGAGCTTAGAACATTTATGTATGTAACCCTTTTTAAATGATGCGTATTTAAATTAGTCGAGTTAATTGGTTTCGAAAACTGATAAATAATGTAACGGCTACTACATCTGTTCCCGCTCTTTCCATTTTCCCTCTCTCTGTTTTTTTCAGTCATAATAACTATTTTCTTAATACAGTATAAATATACTGCTCTGCTCTGCTCTGTATATTACCCATTCAAAAACAAAAATCTTGCTCCTTCATCTTCTTCATTTTGTCTGCAATTTTCGATCCAAAAAAATGCCGAAAGTCGATGCTCTCCGTCGATTTCTCCTCCCCTGTTTCAATTCAACACCCACATCGCCAGCACCACCGGCGCCGCTAACAATCTCCACCAAAAAACGTCTGAGTACATCTCTGCGTGACGATCTCGACGACCCAGAACAAGATAAGAAGTTCGAAGAAGATTCATACCCAACAACCCCAATCAGTACTACAAACCCCACGACCAGCGCCGCAATTGCACTCTCAGCTCCGCCGCGTTCTTCCAAAACAATGGTAATCGGAACAATCTTCGGCCAACGTCGCGGTGGACATGTATGGTTCTGCGTACAACACGATCGTCTCAACACGAAGCCTTCACTTCTTCTAGAACTTTCCATTCCAACAACAACCCTAATTCAAGAAATGCGATGTGGATTAGTCCGAATTGCGCTTGAATCATCGGATTCGGAGCTGAACCGTTGCCC